CAGACAAGGCGAAGGAGTCAGCCATGCTGGAAGTGGAAGGTGGGGAAAGTGTTCCATATTTGGGTGAACACCTTTCTAGGGTGGGGGCTGCACCAAGGATTACTTCCAGATTTGACAATAGAGACATTTTATTTGATTGGGGAAAATGCTGAGGGAGGAATCTAATCTCCAGTGTAAAACTGGCAAGAAAAACAAGTACTATCTTCCAAATGCTGTGAATCAAGAGAAAGTATGTGTTTTAATTTTATGAACAGCAAGTTCATTCAAGAATTTAATGAGAATCAGTGACTGAGCATTGAAAAATACTGTCTCCATGAAAATATACTTTATCATCAATCTGAGCAAATGCTTATCTTTCTAAGTGTATAGTGGTTTTGAGATTCCTTTTCCTCCTCCGAAGAGGCCTCTGATTCCCTAAAGGATCATCCAGAGTAACCAGTCCTGTTTGACTCCTGATAGACACTGATGTAACTAGGGGACTGGAGTCAGTCCATAGGTAAATGATGGCGGTCAGAAAGCACTGAAGTGTCCACAGGAGTTGGTAATACTCATAGCGCCCTGTGTATTTACCACTTCCGGGTCCCCGTGAAGGAGATGTGACATAGTGAAGTAACTGATGAAGTTTCTGAAGATAAAGTTGATGAGGATCGGCCTATACTGTTGGTTGGGGAGTTCACTGGAAGAACAATTTAAAACACATCGGAAAACAATTAAAAATTTTCACATACGCCTGCACATGTGTATCCATATGAAAATAAAGACTTTTCATTCCAGTGTTACCTGAAGATCCTTAAGTGGGGAACACCTAAGATGTGGATTAACAGAAGACTGGATAAACTATGGTTTACTTATACTATTGGAAAAATCTGAGGCAAATGGAAGGAATAAATCAAAGGCAGAGGCAGCAGTGTGGATAAACTTCACAGACATAATGATGAGTGAAAGAAGCCAGACACAGAGCATGGCCCTCGAATGCAGACTTCAGAAGGGAAGGTGTATTTATCTATTACTGCCTAACACATTACACAAAATTATGAGCCTTAAAACAGCACACATTTATCTCACAGTTTCTTTGAATCAGGAGTCCAGAGAGAACTTAGGAAGGTGCCCACCGGGCTGCATGAGGCCTTGGTTGAGTTGTTTTCTTATCATGCTTAATTAGGGGAACTTAACTAGCGCTTAACCA